GATAGAGAAGAGTGCATAACAGGACACAGCTGACAGGTTTGCTTGAGCGTGTGTGTGTGTGTGTGTGTGTAACCCAAATGCTTGGATGTCTGTCAATATAATATATAATTTCCGATAGCTATATGCTGGACTACCAAAAGGCATTTTTTCATACATTTATGTTCTGCAGTTCTTAAAGGAACAGTGATTTTTACATCTTGGGATTAGTCTCAGCAACTATAAGGTGGCGTGGATAGGATTCAACTGCAAATTGCATAGCTTCATCGTGAATTCGTGAATAAAAACCTGCTGTCTATAAATGATATTCATTCATTCACTTGGAGTTTACTTGCTGCAATACGTGACTGAGAACTGCATTTCTCAGACATTTATAATCAGCACAAGAACTTATTTTTATCCTCAATTTTTCCATTCATCATGTAAAATCTTATATGGATGAATTTGTGAATAAAAGGTTCTTAAAACCAGGCTGATTACCCAATCATATTCAGACCAGATCATATTCAGACTTTTGTTTTTAGATTTTTTAGTTTCCGTTCTGATGTCTCTGCAGTCCACAGTGTTTCTGCTCTGTTGTGTCAAAACAAGTATTTAGCTTTGATTTAGTAAAGTATAGCTGAAATGTAGAAAAAAACGGTAGTGTTTAGAAAAAAAACTTTTTAAATCACTGAATTTCTCAGAAATCAGGGGCTCTGTGGCTACAGCAGCAAAATAAGCAAACATTTGTGAATAAAATGTAGTTATTTGGAAGGTTTCTTCCTGTTAAAAGGGAGTTTTTCCTTCCCACTGTTGCCAAAGTGCATGCTGATAGGGGGTCATGTGATTGTTGGGTTCTTCTCTGTATGTAGGGTTAAAAAGCAAAGGCAAAAGTGTCTGATGAGTCCTTCTGCCTTACATGCTGGGACATTAAGGGTATTATTGGTCACAGGCTTTCAAGCGCAAGAGAAAAGTAAAAGCTGAGTTCTGTTTATCTTATAATGTCAATAAAATTACATCATCTCGCTGCATCCCCCTGCAGCGGTCCATCGACCACTCCTGGATGAACGAGTGCAGCAGCAGGTTGGGTCATTGTAAGGCACTAATGGTAACAAAGCCCAAAGGCTCCCTTGCAGCGTCCTGCAAGCGCTGCACACCCAGTCCAGATTAATTCTTCTTACCATAAAATTCCATTTAAGCTCCTGGTACAAGTAACTGTTGTGCTTGCCACACAGGTAGCTAACTGCTGCTGAATGTAAAGATTTAAAGTGGATCGCATGTAGTGGAAATCTGATACATTTGATTCTGACTCTGGTGAAAGGGCCTAAAAATCTCGTTTACCATTTCCCTGTTCTGTTTTTTATCGTTTATTTTGGTTGGGGAATATAACCTCAGTTGCAGCGTCATTTGCCAATAATCATCAGAGGATGAGAAAATAGGATTAAAGTTAACAATATAACTTCATGTAATTATAACTAAATTGGATTAAAGTTACATAAGCAATCCTGCTCTGAGGAGAATAGCTGGAGCCCGTCGTTCTCTGTCCAGCACCACTACTATGAACACAATGCCCTTTCTTCCCTTTGCCTGCAATGTAGGTGTGACTGTTTAGGAATTTTGTGAAGGCTTCCCTTCGCAAAAAACGAATTAATAAATACAATTTTTAAATAATACAACGAAATAGTTCTAGTTTATTTCAGCCGTTTCTTTTATTAATTCCTGTCTCCCTGTTTGCTTTCCAGAAATATAGAAGGAGCAAAGAGCTGATTTGTAAGACGTGATTATAGGATATTTCCAAACTTTAAGGGAATGTCAAACTGAATTTTCAGGTCTAAAGCACAGAATCACACGATGTGCTGTGGAAACAAAATAAGGTTATAATAAACAGATGTCATAACAGGTACAACTGGGGAAAACTAAAATGATGCCAGTGATTGCACATGGCAAAAACATTTGACTGCATTAAAAGAGCCTATTTTGCTGTATACCACTAACACTTTATAATGTGCATTTATTTTACACAGAAATATTCAATATAAATGTATAAGCTGTCTTGTCCATCTCTCAAAAGAGCTGGCAGTCATTTCAGTTTACACAGTGTTTCAGTTTTGCCACCACATTAACATTAACGTTCAGTATGTTAGTGTGTTATAAAACTGTAATTACTGTGATAGAAGATTAAAACGCACTGTCTTCTGATTAAAATGTTACATTAATGTGAACTGCTTTGACCTAAAGTATATGGATGTCTCTGCGTGTTTTCTTTCTGCCTCACGCTGTTTCTGTGGGCACTGATAGGTGCGTCCTGGCCATTTGCGAGGGAACAATAGCGTGGTGCTGGCGGGCTGTCAGTGTGGTGTGTGCCTGTCAGTTTAGGTTTGGGCTGTTGTGTGGAGACATTATAAGCTGACAGACAGCCCTAACTCCTCTCTTGGCTGGCTCTGTCTGTCTCTGGGGCTAATAACCACCCTGAGACAATGAAAACTTCAGCCTGTCTCATGGTAGAATGAGATGGCTTGATTGTGTACTGTAGACTGGAATGTTAGCTATTGAGCTGTTGGATGAAACAGCCCGATTGTACACTGGAATGTCAGCTATCGAGTTGCTGGACTTTGTACCAAGTCTTAAAAACTTTTTCTAATACGCCCATGATTCAAAAGGTTGTTTTTTTTATCGGTATATCCTGTTCATGTGAAAATGTTCTGTAGACCTGCAGTGTTTCTAGTGTGTAGTCTTTCAATCTGCTAGGCTTGCTTATTTTTATTTATCTAATATTTTTATATTCATATCAATTAAGATACACTAAACCTATAACATATATAAGTTAAAAAATATGTAAATACAGTATCAACCCTGTAGTTCAAAAATACAAAAAATGAAAATAATAATAATAATAATAATGGATTGCATTTTATATAGCGCTTTTCGAGACCCTCAAAGCGCTTTACAATTCCACTATTCATTCACTCTCACATTCACACACTGGTGGAGGCAGCTACAGTTGTAGCCACAGCTGCCCCGGGGCAGACTGACAGAAGCAAGGCTGCCATATCGCGCCATCGGCCCCTCTGGCCATCACCAGTAGGCGGTAGGTGAAGTGTCTTGCCCAAGGACACAACAACCGAGACTGTCCGAGCCGGGGCTCGAACCAGCAACCTTCCGATTGCAAGACGAACTGCCAACTCTTGAGCCACGATCGCCCAAAATAGTCATATACAGTAAGAATAAAGGGATTTCCAATATATTATAATTGTACTAGTAAATTTAATAATATGGTATAAATTTATGGAAATGTCATTTGGTTTCTGTACCTTTGTCTCTCATTTCTAAAGAGTTTAAAAGATCTGTAGAGTTATTTGGAGGAACAGGTACAAAATGCATTTATTTACA